TTTTTTTTTTTTTTAAATCTGGGGCAAAGTATCTAAAAAATTGCCTAAGTTTGAGCAGTAAAGAACAAAGGGTTAAGAGAAAACTTTCAACTAGTTTTAGAAGCTATATAGTATATAAGGTAGCTCACCTAATGGTGTCTTTTTGAAGTACTTTGCTTAGATGGTATAGTTACATGGAAAATGAGAACACATTTTAAGTATTTTTTTTTTTTTGAGAGAGAGATTTTTGCTATAGGACGTATGTGCTAGCTGGAGAGACAGAGAAAGTGAGAAATCACTCTCCGAGGGGGATGGCCATGCTGCTGCATTTCCTTCTCCTCTATTCTCCTCTCAGGATTTTGGGCACACACATACACATACACACGTTCCCAGCATGAGTTTTAAGCCACCACGTCCAAGACTCGAGCCTGTGGTCAGTCATGTGGGAATCCAGCACCTTAACCACTATGCTACCTGGGGACCCTGATTTTTAAGTAATTATTAAAATCATACTTTCTTATTGAACTTCCTGTTCAATTTTTGTTGTATGAAATAGAAAATAAATTGGTAAAGCTTTGGGGTTATAACTTATAATGATCTTGATTGGTGATTATGAATTTTATTTAGCTGAAGAAGACAAAGCTTGTCTTGTGTAGAAAGGTAATCTTTAGGACAAGTCTCCTCTCTCCCTTTCTGTCTGTAGTAGTGACTAGGATATTTGTTCCAGGTTATATGTAATTTGGTTACTCACTCTAAAACTAACTTATTATATATTAAGTCTCCCAGTTTATGAAACTAGTATATTATAAAATGTTGTATTATCAAGGTTTATGATAGCCAGAAGGACATGATAAGTTTAAACACTAATGGCTTGTTTTTAAAATTTTGTGTATCTTCTGATTTTCATAGGCTATAGAAAAGCATCTTATTAAGAAGTCTCGTGGAGGTCTTGTCTTTATTGGAGAATGGAAGAACGGGCACTTAGAAAAGAAGATGGGGCATTTGGCCTGTTTTGCTGGGGGAATGTTTGCACTAGGAGCAGACGGTTCCAGAAAGGATAAAGCTGGTCATTATTTAGAGCTGGGGGCAGAAATTGCACGTACATGTCACGAGTCATATGACAGAACTGGTAAGAATATTAATAATTCTAATTATTAATCTAAAATAACATCTAAATTAAAAATATGTCCAGGAATTGTAAAGAAAATATGTAGGAATTTTTTTAGAATTATTTAATTTAATTTAATTTATTATTATTATTATTATTATTATTATTGTTTTTAACTTTGACCAGAGAGAGAGAGAGAGAGAAAGGGAAGGTAAGAAGGCAAGCTGCCAGGTCCAGGACTTGAACTGTGGTTGGCCATGTGGGAGTACAGCACCCTAATCACCACACCACTTGTTGGCCTTGATAAATGGACAGTTTTTACTTAATAATAGTTTACTATAGCAGAGTACATCATTTTCTTAAGAGCTTAAATTTTAATTCTGGAAAT